CAATAATATGCGATGAGTTGTTAAATTGTTTGAGCGTTTAAATTGTGTGAATTGAGCGTCGTTCTTCAATGATTTTTCGTGTTCCCTTATTTTAAGCTTATTTTCAGGGGATTCAGCGCCACAAAGCTAACAAACTAGATCTAAGAAGTATGTTCATACAGTCACTTTTATGTGCAACACAGTAAGTTGTATATTCAATATCTGTCTTTCTACATATGATTTTTTTATTAATTAACGGTTGTCTTCGAGCTTCTTCATGCGACTTCCAACTTTTCGTATTAAACCTTAGCTAATAAGAAAGGTTATAATTGGACTCTATTTCTTTTATTTAAAACAAGCTATAGAGAAAAAAGTAGTAAAATTTGTGACTTCGGTTGTCCTGTCCTTCAATTTTAATGAACAGACTCTGAAATTTAAAGGTAGGTGTACGATATTAGAATCTAAATCCATCTCGAAACCTCTGTTTAAGGGTAGGTGTAATATTAGAATCTAAAATGATCTCGAATTAGGCTCGCACCCGTGTTTACGAGCGAGGCAGTGGGAGTCGGTGTTTAAATCCCTCCTCTATTAATCTTGAACACTCCAATCTGCAATCTGCTATTAAAATATGGGAACTGGCCCACGCAACTTTGTAATAATCAAACTCTGCGCGTAGAGATGTAAAAAGTATCGATTGAGAACAAAAAAAAACGCAAACGAAAATATGTACATATTTTAGTCGTGCAAGAAGAACATTTCAACAAGTTTCTTTTTTTTAATGTCGTAATGTATAAATTGTATACAGAGTTCTTATGTACGTAGTACGTAGGTGACAGTGTAGAGTCACATATAGTAAGTTAGTACCTAGGAATGGACTAGAGTTGCTTACTTTCATGTATACAGTTCCTACGCAAGAAATTGTACATTAAATTGCTTTATAAAAAATCTTAAGTACATAAATTTTAAAGTAAAAACATGCATGTACATTCACTTAACGTTGGTTACGTTCAGTATCAGTAAGTCATAGCGTCCTTCATTGGACTCACACTATTATTATATAGTACATATTTATTTTATCATAGCAATCGCGAATGCAATCAGCCCGCAGTATTCATAATATTAGGTCAACATAAATCATAATATCAAACAATAAAATCTCAGCCAATTAACAATGATCGATACAGTATATCGACATTAACATCCCACATCCCTACTTGTTATACCTACTCGTGGAACTAAAATGAATTGCAGCACATTCCATATTTCATGCAGACCGAACGCACCGTATACATTCCAGCAAAACACTGTGGAACGGCGACGAAATAAAATATTACTCGCATAGATGTCATGGCGGATAATGCATGTGCTGCAATAGGTTGGAGTTTGGAAGTTCAATTTGAGTCTGTTACCGTGTATTAATTAAATAATTTAAATATAGTAAACTAACTTTTACCCACAGCTTCATCCGCGTGAAATTCAGTTTGTCACAGATCGTCATAAATTATAGCCTATTTGAACTAGAAACCTTAAGAACCTTAATTTTACTTATAGTTAAAAATAATAAATTATTGGCAAATCCGCATAATGTAAAATTCAGTCGCGATAATTATTATCATCGTTACTTTCATGTTCAAAAAATGTTTCATGTGCTATAATCTTACTTAGTATTTTATATTCGTAAGTAAGTTTATTTTAATACTATACTTTTTTAAAACTGATTAGTACTCTTAATGTTAATCATGCATTTAATTCAAACGCAAATCATCCTCCACTCTTTGAATCTCGCCTTTGAACCGAAAACTCATTCGAAGTGTTTCTGCGCCCGAATTGCAGTCCATTAGGTTATTGCACACCGAGGGTTCCGCCGTACAAACGTAGCGGTTTACAATTTATGACGTATTAAATCAAATTACTTACTTGATTCCGTTGCGAGTAGTGGCGAATTTCAAAATATGCGGTATGATTATTTTTTATTTATTTATTTTTCCTATATTTGCATTATAGGTAGGTTAGGTTATTAGAATTTCTCACAGTTTAGAGGCAATTAGATTTAAGAAGTGTTTGATATGAATTTCAACTTTAATATCTCTACGCGTTCATGTGAAAAAGGGTAGGTAGTAAGTTTATAATTATTAAAAAAATATTTTATGTCATGTAAGCAAAAATAATATTTTAAATTTTATATAACTTCAAATTTATCATTTTCGCAATTTTTCCTTTATCTGTACTATATAACGTTGCTTCGTGCCGAATTTCAAGATTCTGAGTTCACAGGAAGTACCTTGTAGGTTTTGATTCCCTAGCGTGTGACGGAAATTCGTCTAAGGTGTCGGTATAAACTGCTGTATCTTTTGATCGCGTTAACTTAGAAGTTTGATTTTTTTACTTCTTAAAGGGACAATAGATCTAGGTATTTGGTATAAATTTCAATTTGATACCTTTATTCGTTCGTGAGAAATAAGGTAGTAAGTTTCATTTTATTAAAATATTTNTTTTTTTATAGGTCCATGCTTGATACGTTCACGCGTTCTTGAGATAAAGGGTCTTGACAGACGGACGGACGGACAACAAAGTGATCCTATAAGGGTTCCGTTTTTTCCTTTTGAGGTACGGAACCCTAAAAATGACAGTATCTGTGTCGGACAATCGCTATTGATCCACCCGAAACGACTATGGTATAGTATAACATTGTACCTAGACTTTAAGACATACAAACATTGAAAAAAAAAGAAGAAGAAAAAGACTATGGTACCTAAATCTGAAAGTCACACAGCACAGCTGCCAGAAAACAAAGTTTTGTATATTGCCAGCATTGAAATGTTAAGAAACCTTCACAGATTACATACAGTTAAGAGTCCATTTTGTGCTATCGAACTAAGAATAGACCATAATTTCAAAGTTAAGATAACCATGTTTTTCATTCTTCTTTAGGTATGAAGGGGTCTTAGAGGATATTAGTAAATGGAATATCAGTTGAACACGTCATAATTCAAAGATTAGAAAGAAAACACACCTAAAAATGTTAATTGAAAATTATTCATAAGTTCTCTTTCGCCTTAGTTTGCATTCAGTTGAGAACATTGTTATGAAAATAGTTTAATAGATTTAGGTGAACTCAATTTAAAAATTGCCAACCTGAGAAAAAAAAACAAATCAGAAACTTGCTAGAACAAACAAAAGTTAAATTTGTTGGTACAAGTTCGCAACTAGAAAATAACAATGGAAATAGCCATACAAATGATTTACGGACAACTTTAAATAAAGGTAAACATTAAACCATCTTATGTAGTTGTATTAGATGCTATTTTACAAAAGCAGAAAAGTCTGATTTGTAGGTAGTGCGACTGTACAAACTATACAAACTTTGTACGTTGAAATTTTGATAAGTAAAGTCCAGTTTTAAATTCATCAAATTAAATAAAACACGAAAATTTTCAAACAAACGTTTACTTACACCAATTTGTTAAAAGATGATCCAAAACAAAACGAGTAAAAATAATTTAGGCATTTTAACACTAGAAAGGCCGCCGTCCCATGTTTGTCCCACTCGCGAGTTTGATCGTCTCTAACTTTTTTATTTTTCAACGAAAGTCCATGAAACTTTTTGACTTTTACTGATTTATTGAATTTTATCATTTTTTAATGTTTTTGATAATATAACATTAATAGATTTTTTTTTTAAATCGGTTTTACCTAGAAGCGCCACTGGGTCATTTTTGTCCCACCCTGGTATTTGCCACAATAATTCGACGAAGAGTCCTTGTTTCGAGGAGATACGAAAGTGGAGAGGTGAGGAGAGTTTAGGTGACTCGTGACAATGCAGAAATGTAAATATATTGTACTAGTTTTTGCCTGTGACTTCACCAGTGAGAAATTAAGTTTATCATAGAAAGACCTAATTTCTTGACACATATCGTTGCTTTTTGACCAAATAACTGAATATTATTCTAAATTATAGCCTATATTATGTTATTTTGAAGTATTAGCAATAAAACTGCAAAGTTTTATTAAGATCGGCTTAGTATTTTTTGCGTAAAAGAGTGAAAAAACATCCATCGATCTAACCATGAATCCATACTCACTTAGTTCAAGTTCCAGGCATATATCCACCCATTCATCCTTCCTATCCAGTAATCAGTCCATCCATCCTTCAATTCATCAATATTTATTAACTTTTACATTTATAATATTAGTAGGAAGGTAGCTTCTAGACATAAGTCAGTTCATACATTGTATGATTTGATACATTTTTAAAATGTGTGACTTATAAAATTTTGAAAATTAAACGTACATACTTTTCATTGTAATTGGTAAGAAACTTCACTGTTTTTGTACAGATAACAGAAAAATAACCATACCTATAAAAATTCCTAAACACATAGTACACCAGAGAGACAAAAAACCATCCAAAAAAACTTTGTGCAAAATGTGCACTACTATTTGTAAGATATTTATTTATCCTTTAAAAATAACAATAACTAGTTAAAGTAGTAATTTCATTATTTTAATACAGTATAACACCACGTAATATGTGACTATTTTTAAATGAAACCAAAAATATCTGACTTTTAATAATTCAAAATTAAAATTGAATACATTTATATTTAAAGAAATAAGTACATATTTATTTAACTACATAGATAAACCCTCTTTTTAAGGATACTACAAATAGTTTTAACTATAATATTCATGCCCGAAACTAAAAAATGTTACAAAATATATGCTGGGACAAAATTGACCCAGCGGCGCTTTAAGGGGGGTCGTAATATTCGGCACTTCTAGTGTTAAGTTATAGAACACCTTTCTATCGAAAAGGGTAACATAACGAGCACAAAGATATTTACTGAATAAAGACTGAAAAAGCTAGAATGCTGTTCGAAGCGAATTCTTAACAACAAAAAAAACTCCTTTCTCTTCGCCCAACTACGATGAAAACCTGCTTTGTTCTTTGTAGCTTGGAACATTTTAAATTAAGTAATTCGATGAGCAATCTAAGGGTGCAAAATTAAATAGGGTCTTACCTTTTTATAGCCGGCATTCCTCAAAGCTCTTTCCAATTTGGCCGCTTTGCTAGTGGACAGGTAAACCACCGTTTCATCTTCAAAGTTTGCCGTCTCACTCTTCATTAGATCAGATTCCAGAACTTTCGGTACAAAGATGGGGTTCTCGTAACAACTGCTCGGAACTTCGTCTACTTTACTTGTTTCTTCGTCACTTGGATAAGTTATCAAATAATTGTCGCTGTAAGTACGGGCGGACCACCGTAGCCCGCTGTCGAGGCGACCGCACTCCATTTTTTAGATTAGTTCACTATAGTTTTAAATGATCGTAGATATGTTGACAGACTGTTAGGGGCGTTCACTGGATCGGATTACATTTAAACAGTTGTGTATTGTTTGCACTTAATTTTAGTGATATTTTTAACACTGCATTATTTTGTTTGTCGTTTTATTTATGTTTGGTAGCAACAGTGCTTGTCTTATCTTTGAATGATTAACAGACAAACTATAAGTAGTTGGTTATTGTGTACGTTCAAGTTTTAATCAATATTGTACCTAGTGGTTCTCGGTTCATTTAGACGCATGAAATAATTTTAAAAGTTTTCCTAGAATTTGTATATTGACGGATAATCTAAAAATCATTCCAGAAACTGGAATCTGAATTTAAACATTTCAATGTCCGCGAAAACGCGAGCAATTATTTTGAAACATCAAAACAATCTGACCAAAAAACGAACAGTCCGAGCAACTTCGTTCCAAAATACATTTCAATTACGAAAAAACTTCTCGAAAATTAATTTTATTTTCACTGGGAAATATCAGCCCGACATGTCACCGTGACATGACATGACATGACGTTGGTTGGTTTTTATTTTTAACCCTCCGTGTACGAGGTGACTAAAAGTTACGTCCCGTACCAGGTGGGGTATGACACACCCCAATATACAAAGTGATAAAATTTTCATTCAACATTTTTTTAGGTGGAATTTAATATTTAATATTGATTATTTACGTATGCTAATTAGGTTTAAGAAATGCTCTGAGCTGAAAATATGTATTATAACATTTTTATCATAAAAAAACAAAAAGACACAATTTCCGTTGTTCTTGTAATTTAGGAATCAGTTTCCTATGTATAATTTTTAATTAGTGCCTTTAATTATGACAACCGTTTTTATTTAACAAAGTATTAGTATTTACTTATAATTTAAAAGTAAATTAAAAACTGGAAGGGTATAAATTTGTTTTGATCATCGGTTTTCAATTTACCATAATTTTGATGAAAGAAAATGAGTATGCTCAATGCATAAAATGGGAGCGTAACAATTTTATTTATTTATAAAATATGTTATTCCATTTCAGTAGCCCATAAATTGTATCACCATGTATAAATTGTAGCCCATAAGTGTATGTTCACATACATCTTCGGATCTCAGTACTAAACTTCCAGATTCGCACTAAAAGTCATCTCATTTGACTAAAAGTGCTTGAAAATTTCAGATACCGTAAAAATCACGAAAAATAATATTTGTATTGAATTTTATTCAATTGACAAAGCTAAAAATATATAAATTACACCAAAACTGTTAGATTTTTTTATAAACTTTTTGACAACGTCCCGTACCAGGTGGGGTGTGTGACACCCACACGCACTTTAAAGGCCTGTAACTCAGTTGGTAGTCACCACTGGACTGATTTTGCAACGCTGATCGAAGCAGCAGTGTCATAATTCCAGCTACTGAGAATTTCAAATTCAGCACTTGCAAATTTTTAAAATTGTGGCTATTTTTAAAGTACTGGGGTGTGTCACACCCCACCTCGTACAGCGAGGGTTAAACAAATCCAGGTTGATGTTTCCTGGCGGACAGGTGTTGAGAGGGCGTGATGTGGGTCCAGGTTTGCTTCCCTAATTAACTAGATTCCGAAGTACCTCTTCCATTGCATTGTTGGAAGATTTCGAATAATTTGGCCAATAAGGATTGTTTAGTTTTGGATTTGCAAGTCAAAACAGTACCAGTATCCTAGTGATACAATGCAATAACTTTTTGTATAGGGTCAAAATCTTTAAAAAAATGCAATATTATTAATACAAGTTTATTGTCCCATCAGCTATTTCAAGTGTTTTAGTAATAGAGCAAAGAGAGATGATGGGTAAAAGAAAGGTCACCAATTAACACCACGAATGACCAAATTATAATTTGTAATATCTTATGAATTGCAATAAATTATTGAGTGTTCAATTAATACAAAATGTTTGTTCATTTAATTAAACAATAAAGCAAAATGCGCTGTCATCTGTTATGCAAATACTAAACAAAAAAATTAAGACAAATCAGGACCTTTTAAACACAACCACATCCTTGTTACACAATTAGTCCGCTTAGCGCGAATTTGTCGCGGCGCGCAAATAAATCGTCGCGTCTGCGCGCGCGCGTGTCAGCCCAAAACGTAAATGTCATAGAACAAAACTGCCAGACGGGGTCGATGGACTTGCTTATCCTTGGTCTAGGCCAGGGCTGTCCACAATATATCAATAATATGTATAACTATACGTATATTTTAAAAATTGTAAACACTTGAAAAAAAGAGGCTGACGATAGTGACTGAGTTTCTAGCGATGCTTCTTCTCAGCACTGGCCCATTTATTGTCCCGAAGCAGTGGTAGAGTTTATACTGGGACGTGTAAAAGTGTGTTTTAAAAGCCTATACTGGCAAAAATGTAAATTTATGAGTTTTTATGAGCTTTACGTCTGATGCTTTCATTACCTAACTGGTTTTTCAGCTTCAGACCAATGAAGTTCACAACTGGACAAAGCCTTTTCCAAGGATTTTCCGATCCTGCGCTACCGGCATCCACTTGTTGGCAAACCTAATACGATCCCGGCCCAATCTAAATATCTAAATAGACAGGGACCCAAAAATTATTTTATTTTTGGATATTTGCAAGTAATGGATTAAGTCAAAAACTGCAGGATTGATTTCAATAAGTCTTGCATCATTAGATACATTTTCCCTGAATAACATAGGATTATAGTAGATCAAAATTCATGCGGGCGAAGCCACGGGAAAAAGCTACTTATTAATCCTTCAAGGCCTCAAGCGGTTAATAATCATTGATTTACATATTAAGATGCCACAAAAATAAAATGATGTTCTACGGCTCTACGAAAAAGATAAAATGAAATATTCGTATAACCCTTTCAGGCCGGATTTCAGATTTTTTTAAATTAACATTTTTAACTACATAACATGTTTTATTATTGTATAAGGTACTCCAAAAAAATAATTTTAAAAATCCCCCTCGCCCCCCTCTTCGTGGGGGGACCCAGCACGATCGTGACGCTCAGACTTAAATTAATTTACTGCACGAAAGTGACGGTGTCAGGTTTTGAAGTTAAAAACCTAAAAATATTTAGAAACATATATTTTTAATACTCTTAAAAGAAGGAAATTTAGGTAATTTATCTGATTTAAATTGCAAAACATTTTAAAATAGCTAAAACTGTAGGCACTAGTAGATTTTTATTACATCTCTTGATGAGGAAAAAATCCTTTTCTGGTGTAAAATTGGATGCTATTAAGACGGGTTTGTTACCCATTATCCATACATTTTACAATAACAATGTCATTATTAATGAATATTTGGGATTCTTGCTTGATGTCCTTATTTGTCGTCCTAGAAATTCAGTTTTCATAATTGTGCCAGTCTCATGAAGCCCCATTTCATTAAATATCTCGAATAAAAGTATGGATGAGAAAAACCTGTCAAATGACTCAGAGCTAACTACTTGCAATCTACTTGAGAGAGATGAAGAATTGCAGAAGTTCAAAAACCTAGAGATCTTCAAAGTTTATTGTTGCAGCTTGATAAACTTCGAAATCAATCATCAAACCATCATGGTTAGTAGCTCCTGTGAATGTGGCTTTGTTTTTTTAACTGTCAAAAACCATGTTAACATGTCTCAGAGAATGAAATCCATTTGCTCTTCTACGGAATAAAAAAAATGTTCTCTTTCTACTTTGTCTCAAGCATTCTAGACTTGAGTAAGCACAGCATGCCCTTCCTTCCGAAACTCAATTCTGGTTTTCCTACTGCAGGGGCTTCATCACTGTTTACAACATGGAAAGGCACACTAAAACTCAAAAAAGATCTCTGAAAATTTTGTCACCAACTAAAGCTAATCTAATTCTATTCGACGCCAATACACGTGAATGCGTGAGGACGGAATAAATCCCATGAAGAAATTAATTCAAACTACTTTTTGAACTTTTTTGTTGGGGTATTCAATACTTTTCCCGTTTTGCGGATAATTATTGGTACAAACAGCTGCATGTTCAAAAAACATATCGTCAAAAGCCTTCACTGTAGGTCAAAGGAGATTACTACTGCTGACAATAGTTCTGGATAGTAATAATCCCTCTGGTTCAATCCCTCTGTATCAAGACCCTTTGGCCAGTCGCATGGCTTTTCGACGACTTTTAGAGAGCTATTGGCACAGTAACTGACAATGTACCTGGTCTTGGAGGTGATTGAGGCTCATCAGTAGGCATCAATGGCAAACCAAGACTTCTACATTGCCTTCATCATATTCCATCTCTTCAATTTCTGAATAATTGACATGCCCAATAAGCTGAAGCAACAATTCACCCGTTAATTCTATTCCTAAAAGCCGAAATTTAATTGAAAGCATTAAAATAGAATAGTTCATCGCCATACAAAGTATGTCACCGAATGTTGGGTTTGAGTCGGATCATCACTATCGTGCAAACAAAATTTTGAGAGGTAATTTTTCCCACTGCAAAATAAATAATGCCAAAAATATTATTTACCGAATTACATCACTAACTAAACAAAATATTAAAACCAAAATTCCAGTAAAATAGTTGAATTAATCACGAAATAATTAGTACTAACGCTGACCACTCCGCTCAACAAAAGAGGTCGACATCTTTACCTGTGTCAAAGAACACTGACTGCCTTCTCTCTCGCACCTATGCGTTTAATTCATAAACAGACTGTTGCACGATCGTTGGCTAGCGTCTTGGGCCCGAAAAGTTGGTTAGAAAAGGCGCGGGATTTTTTTGAAATAACGTGCACGATCGTGTTAGGTCGTCCTGAAAGGGATATACTAAATCAAACTAGTACTTCGAACAGCCCTGATGGGCAAAGCGATTGTACTCCACTCGGAAGTAATCAATGGGTATTAATTAAAATATGAAATATGTCGATTAATGAGTTTTAATTGCGAGATATAATGCATCACATTTACAGATAACAGGTACTTAACAGTAATTATTGGCACTAGTGCTGCAATGTTGTGAGTTAATTATTAACTCATCGATATCTTGCAGAAGAGTCTTTATGGGTTACATGCCCGTTTTCACCATCAATCCCTAATTTTTAAGTGACCCCTATGAAAACAAAATTCCTGTCATGTGTTACCATAGCGGTCACTTAAAAATTAGGGATTGATGGTGAAAACGGGCAACAGAATATCAAATAATAGATCACGATTATTTTTAGCATGCGATTCCATAAACAAAGATTGTGAGACAGCGGATAAACTACTTTAAGTATAACGTATCTACAATTCTACATGTATCGTTCGTTTCAGCCAAATGACGTCCACTGCTGGACAAAGGCCTCACCCAAGGCTTTCCATAACGTATGCTATGCCCAAATATGAAAATAGCATAAAGACGTAACTATACATACAGTGTGAGTCACGTTAAAGTGTACATATGAAAATAGATGAAACTAGACCTATTTTTATCGACAAAAAAGAGGTCAAAATTTTTTTGAAATTTTTTTTTAAATTTTTATAGAATTTTTTTTCTTCCAATTACTTATTGTAAAGAAAACATAATAACTTTTAAACTAAGCGGTATATCTTGATAAAATAAAAACAGTAATAATGCTAAATAACAGGCAATACTAAAAAAATACAATAAATACACAAAAAGGGCCAACAAATAATAAAAAAAATATACTTTTTGAAAAAAATCCGCTTAAAAATTCGTGTTTTTTTGGTTATTTGATAAATTTCTCCAAAAAATGCCCCTATAACCGGTAGTTTTTATTACTTTGTATTATTCTCTATCGTATTACCTTCGTAAAACGAAAAATTGCATGTCTCTATCCCTATCACAACGTTTGCAATGATCGTTTGAACTAAGCCTCTCCGGGCGCGCCATTCAACGCTTCGTTAACAACAAAACTGAAAATGGCTCTAGATTTGTAATTTTGATAAAGACAAGTTAGATTTCAAATAAAAACAAAAGATTTCGAAGTAAAATAAGCATTTTAGTTAAAATTAAAATTGTCTCTACCTGTAGCGGAGAATAATGTTGTGGCAGGCCTTTATTCAAACGATCATAGCAAATGTTGTGATAGGGATAGAGACATGCGATTTTTGGTTTTACAAAGATAATACGATAGAAAATAATACAAAGTAATAAAAACCACCGGTTATAGGGGCATTTTTTGGAGAAATTTATAAAATAACCAAAAAAACACGAATTTTTAAGCAGATTTTTTTCAAAAAGTATCATTTTTTATTATTTGTTGGCATTTTTTGTGTATTTTATGTATTTTTTTAGTATCGCCTGTTATTTAGCATTATTATTGTTTTTATTTTATCAGGATATACAGCTTAGTTTAAAAGTTATTACGATTTCTTTACAATAAGTAATTTGAAGAAAAAAAATTCTATAAAAAATTAAAAAAAAATCTCAAAAAATTTTTGACCTCTTTTTTGTCGATAAAAATAGGTCTAGTTTCATCTGTTTTCATATGTACACTTTAACGTGACTCACACTGTATACTAATACCTATCTATTTTTATTTATTTATTTATTTCCAAGCTTATTTATTATTAACTACTTGGAACATCATCACTATCGACTGATCGATATCGTAACGATGTCCCAACATTAATTGGTGCCCAGCAATCCATATTTTACGCTGGCAACATTATGCAATCCGCCCGGCACGCAAAAACAATATCCGAGACTTAATTAAATATGACAAATTTACGTGCTAATTGACGACCGTAACGAAACCAAAATTCGTATTTATCGTGAAATATTACGTAGAGTTTCTGCCGTCACCGCACGTTCGTTCGCGATTTTAATGTAGTTTTGATTCTCTTTAATTAACGATTTTTAGTAATGAGCTAGAGTTTTAATGTTATTTTTGACACGTCGTAATGAAAATGCAAAGGCTTTATGTGCAAGTATATGTGTTTTACGGGCTAGGTTCATAACCGTTGTCAAAATTAACTTAACGAGCTATTTATTGTTTTATTTTTTGAAATTTTGTAAAGAGTCACATCCTATACTACTAAATTCATAAAAGTGATACTTAACTGCTAGCCCGGCAAACGAAAGGTCGTGGGTTCGAAACCCACAGATTAGACAATTCGATTTTCTAAACTAAATGAGATCTGGATTATGTCATCGAGTGTACTAAATGGCGCCATTTAACTGTAACAATTTAAACAACACAGGTTTAAAATTAGCTTCATCGACAGTGTTTACTTACATAGCGACCGGTCGAACAATAGTGTTTGACTTGGCCGTCGGTAAGTTTTGCTTAAGAACCAATAATATTAATATTCTAGACTATAACAATGAGCACCAAAACTTGGAAATCAAGATACGGTTAAGTCCCGGTGATGTTTCTAATGATCTGCCTAAATCAGATGCTAGTATAGCTAGGTCACTTAACACGTTTTTCTTCTATCGTATGCATTGTAACTATTGAAGCATCCATCCAATCAATCCACAGTCCTGGACCCTCAAATCTAGAGCCTCAATTCTCGAATAATTAAATGGGGAGTTGTTAACAATTAACATTATAATAACATACACACATCAGTGACGATACTTCATTCTAGATAATAGACCAAGACCAACAGTTATTATGCCTTTGATGAAATAGTTTCAAGGGTTGATTAAGCCAGGTATACCTACTCAGAGCTTCAATGAAACACACACAAATCCCTGTTAGTGCTAGCTTTGAAATTATAAGGCTAACACCGGCATTGACTTTGACGATGGCGCCATTGTCACCATTGTCACATGTCCTGTGTGCAATGGATGATCAGATCTTGACAAATATCACGATCGGACAAAGCTTTATGCTAATCAAGCTTCTACCTAAGGCTTTCTATAAACAAATACCAATATACAAATACATTTCACTTCATAAAAGGTAATGTATCTTACCGGTGAATGCAAATTAAGTTATGTACTCGTAGATGATATCTAAGTGTCTTGTAGGAGAATTTTGCGATAGTTTAGTTTAGTTTTTGTTTTTTTTCTGTCCAGGACTATAGGCTCTACTTTATTATTCATCATCATCATCATTTCAGCCATAGGACGTCCACTGCTGAACATAGGCCTCCCCCAATGCTTTCCATGTTGATCGATTGGTAGCGGCCTGCGTCCAGCGCTTCCCTGCTACCTTTACGATGTCGTCGGTCCACCTTGTAGGTGGACGTCCCACGCTGCGTTTTCTTTTCCGGTACGCGGCCTCCATTCCAGAACCTTTCTGCCCCTTTATTATTAGATATAAATAATTAGAGTGTAGACAGTAAATACCACTAAGATTTAGTACTACTTTAGTACTCTTTTGCACGCAATAACCAACCAAATAACCATATGATTTCCACACTCAACGTTTGATTTGCGTTTCAATCCCACTTCACTTCACTCACATAAACAAGCACTTATTTTTGTGACGCACACATCAACAGTTTCATATCAGCGGACGGCTAAGCGCGCGCGCAACTCACTCCCGACTGATCTATATTTGCTGTGAGTGGGTTTATTAACATCCAGATAAATTTGCCCAGATTTCGTGTGTGACAGACTATGACTCAGTCATTCAACTTTCCAGACGAGAAGGACGTTTTTTCTAGGCGGAAAATGGATGATTAATTTGATTTGTTTTTGAGGCACGGGATTAGTGTTCCATGTCTCGTTTGATCATAGTTTGATGCCAGCAAAATTATGTTTTAGTTAGATAATTTTGTTCAGTAGTTTGTTTATACAACTGATGTTGTTACGAGCAAAAACATTTTCAGTGAAAACATATTGCACTGTGTAAACACTGAAACTGTTTTATGGGATTTACTACTCGTATTGCGAACAGGTACTAGGATCTGGAACTTTCTCTTTGTTCTTCGAAAAATACGACCAAGGATTTTCAATACACGCTTTCCCGAATTCGCAATGTAATACTGGTGCGGTTAAAATATGTTGATAAAAATTGATTTTTTAGAAAAAAGTGATTTCAGTGATATATAGCTAGAACAGTGACATAAAGTTTGCTTTTATTTAAAATCAAAATTGAAAGTATACCTAGTCTGGCGGTTGTGCAAAACCATTGCACTACAATGCAGTAAAAATTCTAAGTGGCGCGAGTTGACTCACGGTCTTAAAACCCTGGAATATGTTATTGTTTCAGACCGCGCATAGGTCAGCTGTTTAACCGCTAAAAAAATTTTATTAGCTAGTAACATTGTGGCCAATCTGTTCTTCCTTCGATGAGACAGATTTTTTATATTACACATGCAGTTAATTTTTCTCTATAAAAAAACTTAAAATATCAAAGTGACTGTAAATTATCTATGCGTTTATTTCAGACTATTTCTGCCACCTTATTAATGCAATATTTTTCGCTTCAGGGGCAGGTGCAATCTAGGCGCTTATTACAAAAGTCATTTAACACATTGAATACATTTTTCATTTGTGGTTTCGTGTCAAATAAAGGTTTTCTATTCTATTCTATTTAGTATGGAAATGTCATTAAAATCACGTGTTTAAGTTTTTGTAATAATATCACAAAAAATGTTTTAAGCATTCTGATTTTATTCTAACTCCCGCCAGATGCGTGGTCACAGTACACTCAATACGGTGACCTTGGTACATTTGACCCAGTGCCAGCGGCTGCATGGATGCGTCTGTTTACTTCTGGTGCGAACAGATGTTTAGATGGCGTTTAATGCATTTTGCAAACTCATTTTAATATCGCCTTCCTGGCCGAACATCTGGTGAAACAGAGGTCAGGAGGACATTCTAGAACATTCAAAATAATTATAGTTTTCACATTTTTCTTTACTGTTTCAGTTACTACTAATATAATCCTCTTCAGTTCTCGTCGGCCATCTGACCTAGTGGTTTGTATTTTGTATTCCCAGACTTTGTCTAAAATTCCGCAGTTGCAACCAGTGGACATTTTATAAAAATCTATTACATGACGTCCTTCTTTATTTATGTTAATCCGTTCATAGAGCTAGGTTATTGGTGTAGGCGTATTAACAATCCGTAATTAATTCCCAGTTAGTGCAACTTTTATCCCAGTGTCGCCGCCCAGCGGACGGATTGCGAAACTGTGCCACTCCGCGGCGGACGACGGAACTTCCTTATTGGTGGTCTTGTATCCAACGATCCCAATCAATTTGCAACTCATTACGTGCCCCGGTTCAATGGACTGTGGTACTATGATTGACATTTAAATATTTCCTTGAAAAATGTTCCTTGACAGACGATTGATTTAAAAACTTTGCCGTCTAGCAATGTAACACAAATATTCTATTGCATATTATTACTAATAGTCCCGTTAACCCCTCGTGCTAAGCTAAATAATATGTTTGTGATACTAGTGGGTTCACCACAATAGTCCAAAGGCAGCGGGGTTCGAACCAGCGTTCCTCGAATCTACAGTCGGCCACCGGCCAGTCCGACACCCTCACCGTTGGGCTGTTGTCGCTTTATTTACACGTATTAATGAACAGGCCACAAAGCAAAGTCCTATACCAATAATAAGTAATTGACTTTCATCCTTTCATTCGCTCATTGGAAAAAGTCTGAACTTATTGAAAATTAGTTTCAAACTCAGTAAACCATCTCCGTATCGGGCTCAATATGTCCATCCCAATGTATTCCAGCTAAACTTTCCCAGAATAATAACACTAAGAACATAATCTCCGGGGAATCCCCCTGGAACATGTGTAATATGGCTTTTCAGTTGGCCGCAAATATTTGCAAAGACGAACGCAAACGCAATCCTTTTGGCCACATCTGCTCTTTAGGCGTGCGCAAACTGAGGGTAGGTACTAATATTGTTTAATGTTCGCTAGTTGGGTTATGAGAAAAATACAATACTTACATTAAGCTTTATTGCTATTTAATGTTTATAGGACCTCTATCAGAGACCAGAGTAGGTATATCGTGTGATTAGTCTTCTCTGAAACACTCAATTAGGTTCAATAATTATCGTAAAAGTTTATTTTCAGATCATATTCAATTTCTTTATTTTTATACTAGGCCCTTTTCAGGGCAATAATACACGTCCTAACAAAGTTTATCCTATCACCACTTCGGGAGAACATATCGGCTGATGCTGAGAAAAAGTTGTGGAAGAAACTCAATCACCTTTGAAATGAATAAATTCATATTGCATTCATTCAAGGTCCAAAATGAACTGTTTTGGCAAGTATCACCACGCGTTTTGGATTAGAACAACTGAACCTGCCTGCAATATCCTACATTACTAAATTATGTAGTACCTACTACATCACTATAATTATCCACATAACGCAAAACCTTAATCAGATCCTGGCTTCTTTTCTGGTCTTTTCCTCACAGTTTATTGGAAACAAGTCTCATTATCGGAGAACCCATCGATAAGCTGTCTCCTAGATTGGAAGTCCAGATCAATGGCGTCTTTCCCCTGGATTAGAGCCAATGAGCCCTCCATCGTGGAGCATATACGTGTAAGTGGTAATTACTCGGGGACCCAACTATGGAAGCGTTCGAGACTCGCAAACATTTTGTGGGTAAAAATTACCTTCGTTTTCAAAATGGATACTAGCTATTTTTTCGCAAAAAATACAAAATAAGGTGACGATCTGTCCAAAACTATTTCTATTTAAAATAAAATACATTATTTATAATGGGAATTTAAATCAAAACCGACAAAAACAAGTAGTTCAAATTGGGTATATTGGATGTAATTCCTTATCAACATTTCTAACGAGTACCCATTATTATCATCTACTTATTTTTAGAAAAGGATTAAATCTTACACACACTTTAAAACTATTTATAAAAGTAACGTAGCTTATCTTTCAGTTATGCTTAGATACTTACTAAAACAGTTAATCCATGTGTTTTGAATTGCAGGATCTGTCTTAAGTATTATGTAGTAAATACTCGTATGTAAACTTGTGAAATCAGAAGTTTTCTCCATGTCGATCAGTTCCAGAATACCGCCCTCGAGGAAGCTTCGTTGAGATTAATTTCGTTAGTTATCTGTTTAGTCTGGATAATACGAACAGAAACTCAGTTCATTTCGCTCCCATTAAATTAATGCCATATAAATAGTGACTCCAATAATCTATAACTTTCGAGACATTCTGGAATTCTCATAAGATCTTTTCTCTAAAATTTCCAAATGATGAAAATTGAATGTGGCTACATTTTTAGGGCAGTATTAGAATTTGCGGACTTATAGAAAATATGATTAAAATCAAAACTTTTACGTATGTTAGAAAGCTTTATTTATTTTATATTTTGCGAAATGTTACACAGTTAAAGACCTGACAGCGGACGAGTTAAAGTTATTATAGTTACAGAAAACTTTCTTGAGTAGGTAACAACCACGGACACAAAATTGACCTTTTGGTTACGGGAACCAAACTCAACTATACATTTATACTCGTAGCTACTCGTTGTGGCGTTCTAAAGAGAAAACCTATGTCCAGCGGTGGACTTTCAGAGGTTATTAGTGGAAGATGGCCTTCTGATTAATTTCGTAACGGATCCAAAGGCAGTAGATTTTATCTCGGCCTACATTGGTTGGGTTTTTAATGTGATTCAAACGTCATAAGATAGGAAGAATAAGTCCCACCATATTTCATGATCTCTCAAAAAGTAGTCAACTTATGGCTACCCTAAATTTAAGTGCGTACAAGTTAGACGACTCAAAGTTCGCTTGAATAATGAGGTACAGATGCGAAGAATGAATTAACTATACATTAGATGATTATAAGTTAAATGAGTTGCCGAACTTATGTGACACACGCAAGCTCAATACGTTACGTGGGCGGTTGTTAATTAGTTTGTAGTATAGATAAATGTTCAATGAATACAATATTCATTCATAAAACTAATTTCCATTTGCTGTTTAATATCGACTCATTCATTATTATATTTTTTGTCCGCGATTCATTGATATGAATGAAGTTTATAATATACTCAACATCAAATAAACCGCACCTTCCGCGACGCGAACTTTAACGATTTTCTTCTGACACAATCATGGTGCCCCAACAATATTGGTGTTATTTGAAAGCCCAATAAATATCCTTAAAGAAAAACACATTTAATTTCTTAATAAATGATTAACATATGTGACTTGAAAAAATACCTCACTTTGGGCCCACCTATGGGATCAATTAGACCAAATTTTATGGCTAGAAAACCAAATAATGATCTCACGTGTCCTCTTTAACAGATGGATAGCGATTAATCCCAACTTAACAGTTTTATAGCCATAAAAGTTGGCTCTAGCGTAACTACCTATTTTTTGAAGAAGTGGCTCTGGATCCTTCTAAAGACACATTTTTGGGGTAAAAACCTTTCCTTTAATGAAATGAAGGTTAGAAATAGGCTTTCAAATGGTGCCAATATTGGTAGGAAGTGGGGAAGCATACGTTTGAAAATGCTTGTCGCGGGAGGTGCGATTTATTTGATGTCGAGTATATGTGCAGACGACGGCACATCAAGCTAAAGATTTTGGTAC